ATCAGTAACCAATCTTTCCTTCCTGCCCCATGAATTCGAAGAGAGCCCCTCCTCTCTGCTCTGAACACTTCTCCCTCTCTTTTTGAATTGTTGGAGTTTGTTGAAGTAGTCTGTCAAGTTTTTAGCTTGCTGTTATGTGTTCAGAGTAAGTAAATGAAACATTTTATTACTTCGTTCACTAAGGTCTCAGAGTGAGTTAATGAGACTCTGAATGCCAGTTAATGAAAAAAGGGGTGGACTCATTGGGGAGCTTGAAGCTCTGCTCTGTGACTCTCTGTACTTCTGCTATGCAGCTGGACTCTAGCTAGAAATCGATTGGTCCCTGAAGACTGTATCCATATTGTTCTGACATCAAAATGCCCCAGTATTGATGCTCTCGTATCCAAGATGAAGCAACATATTTTCTCCAAAACCTGAAGTTTTCAAGTAAGTTGATGCTTTCAAAGTAATTTTGAATAGATTCAATAAGATTTTGAATTCAAATCCTGTATCATTTCCTTCCTTTCAAATCAAGGGGGTAATGTTGGCTTATATAATTTTTTTTGGGGGGGGGGGTAAAAGGTAAAGTTCCCTGACCCCTGGGCTAGAGGAATTTAACGAGAAATTCAAAACTCTGCAACAGAAACTCACTGAATGAATTTGGGCTGGTCACTTTCTCACTAGGCCTCAGAGTTATGGGAAGGATAAAATCGGCAGGAGTAGAGCCAAGGACACATCCTGAGTCCAGGATCAGGTCTTAGCTTGTCCACCAAATCTATGTTTTCCAACCCCTCCCTCAGCATTCCTCAGATGTTTAGCTGGAGCACAAGCCTCTGAATTTGCTTCAGTTTCCTTTGGCAACAGCCGCTTGAGTTCTCAGATCCTCTCAGAGGCACTGAGCTACATATGGGGAGGAAAGGGAAAAAGTAAGGGGACAGACAAGCTGCCGCTGTGGGAAACAGCAGGTGGAGGCCGTGTCCGCATGCTATGTTGTAGGCATGCTTTGCTCACCTCTGCCACCAGAGAATCCAGGCATACCTCCCTCTTCCCCAGGAAACAGTTTCTTTAGGTCGCCTCTGTTGGCAAGGATGGGCAGGTGGCACTGGCATGTGTGTGTGTGTGTGCAAACAGCTGGTTGCAAAGGCTGCTGCCATCACTAGCCTTCAGCTCCCTCCTTCACACATTTTCTTCCATCTCTTTGTACCCCCTTGGAATGTCTTCAGGCCTTTATCCCTATTTTTTGGAAAAAAAGTGTTCTAAATCAGCCATTCTCAGCTGAGGCCATATGTTCCCCCAGGAAACCCTGGCACATTTGAAGGAGGTGGGCATAGATTGGAAACAGGTCTTCGTACACCACCTCATAGGGTTTATTATGCAGATTCAGCCCATATTTCTTTAGTACTGTGTTTAAAGCCATGGTCAAAAAAGAATTGAGAATGGCAGGCGTAAATGATCCTGGAGATGCTAATCTGAGTAGTGCTAGATCCAAATGTTGTAGGAGAGGAAAGATGCTCATACAATATATCTTTTTCATTCCTTCACACCCACAAAGCACCTCCAAAGAATTAGAGAAACTCTATGAATAATGTAGCTTTGTAGGAATGTGGGTCTCCTAGTTTTGTGAATATATACTAGACTGTATCATTAGTAGAAAACAAACGAGAACCCCATGATCCCCCTCTTGTACTTTACTGAAAAGAGCCTGTCCTTTGAAATTCTTTCTTTCCCTCCCTTCCATTCCTCATCTTCTGAAAACCATATAATCCTCCTTTGGTGCCGGAAAAAAAAATGCACATCTGAAACTCTTGTTAATAGATGAAACCTTCTCTCCTGATGGAGGGCCAGCAGCTCCCCTCCCTTTCAACATACTGTATGCATTTGGGGATACAGTGACAGATGGCTGGCATTAGGACAACCCTCACAGGAGCTTTCACAGAAGTGTGTTCTGTCTCAAAGTCCTCTCTTGCCCTAAGTCAAATGTTAATTGGAGACAAGAGTCAAAAATAGGAGCATTTGCAGTATCCAGGGATAAATAGCTGGGATAGTTTCATGTTGGATGGAACTAATTATCTGAACTAATGTGGATGTATTGGAACGTCAGGTATCAAATGTCATGTCCAAAGATCAGGTTCTGCTACTGGTTACTTGGAAGTTTAAAACATATGGAAAATGTCATTGTTTTAAAAATGATTTCATGTAGTATATTCATTAGCTGGCTGGATAGCTCAGTATATTGGGGTAGAAATCAGGAGTTCAATTCCAGACTGTGCCACCAAGGAGAAGAGCCAGCCTCTATAGCAGAGTCCTAAGGCACCCCAGAAAAATGGCATGATTAATCACTTCGGAGGACTTCATAGTGGAGAAACTGTGGTAAGGGTCACCATGTTAGAATTGACTTTGCAGCACATAATTCTTATTAGTACTCTGCACAGTGGGAGGATTGGTTGGACAGGTTAGTAAGTTAGGTTGAGAGCTCAACTCCCCACTTTGTATCTCAGAAGAGCCTGTCTCTGTAGCCTTGGGCAAATGGCAGGGTCGTAGGACAACTGGGAAGAAGGGGATAGTAAACCATGTCTGAGTACTGTAGACCTCAAAAACCCTGAAAAGGGTCACCCTAAATCAGAATTGAACTGAGAGCATGTGTGCATCCGCACAGAGTTGTTATTATGCACTGGGAGTCTAGCAATGGCTCCTTTCTTAAAAATATTCATTCTATCTTGTGTAAATGTGACAATATATACAGTGTATTACAAATGCAAGATTTATTTTATAGCCAACTGTTTCTCAAGTTCAGACTGTCATTCCCTACCAACCTTGACTTTTACGTAATCACAACAATCTTGAATATCACTACTCAAGGAAAAGGGTTTGTTTTTTTTAAATTACATATACCCAAGGACAGGGAAATAAACATTGCACATTAATCTACAATGGAAAATTCTGTAGCAAAACCTGCTTTGTGTTGCTTTGTCACACAAACAGCTTTGTGTGATTTACTAAATGAGTAACAGATATCCCTGAAGAGACACAACATGTAGCTGCTTGGATAACAATATATTTAAATTTTAAACATCTCAAATCCGTTGTGGAGTTCTTCATTGATCTAAAATCGGGTGAGGAACATTTGGTCTAGAAACCTCTTCCAGCATAAACAATGATAATGAATTATGAGAGCTGTAGTTCAAAACATCTGTAGGGGGCAATAGTTTCCCATCCCTGGCTTAAGAGACCAAATACTATCAAATACCTCCCATTCATCAAAAAAGGGGGTTGATGGCCTTATTACTTCGTTAATGGATATTACTGTTTCTTACCATAATTAGGAAAGGGATGGACAGAGATTGGAAATGTTACTTTTGCTGACCATAATTCCTAGAGTCGTGTAGAGAACATGGCAGGTTGGGGACCACTGCTGTAGAAAACATGACCACTGTTTCTTTCAGAATGACAAAATCTCTGATTTCAGACCGATATTGCTTCTGCCACTGATATAGACTAATGCTTGCAGAAAGGTCTTGTGAAAAGTTAGGGATGCAGAGTAAAATGTTGTAAAAAATAAAATAAAATCAGCATTAAAAACACAGTACAGCAACTAAAGTGTGGGGGCAGAGAGATCACTGACCACAACACCGAAGTTGCCAATAGTGGGCCACACCATCCATACACCCTTTTAGGAGAATTCCTTACCTGCAGCTCCCCTGTGGACTGGGGCCATGAGAAAGACCTGGGAGAACAGTTCCTAGTAGCCAGCCAACCAGTGGGACAGAGCTGGCAGAAAGGAAAGGAGGAGCCCCAAGTGGGGAAGAATAAAAAGAGAGATGATGAGCAGGCAGATGCAGGCCATTGAACTGAGGCCAGAGAGACAGTTGTTTGCAAGGTATGCCAAGGAGAGACCCCCTGAGGAAGCAGGACTGGATCTTTGGGTTGGCTGGAAGCTGGTGGAGCAAAGGGATCCTTGGACCGGCAAGTGGGTTCAGCTAAATATGTCACCTGAGGGGACTGAGAGAATGCAGTGTGCCAAGGGAAACCGAAAGCCCTCCTACTGGTGGAAGAGAGAGCAATGGGAAAGAAGATGCTGGGTACAAGGGAAAGGCTGCAAGACTGTTGAGAAAGCCTCGCTGCACCTAGAGCCCTGTGAACTTGCCACCCAATGAGTCAATCGCTGCTCCACTGCCATGCTCAGCCACCATATTCTTCTTGGACCTGGAAGTACCAGAGGTGGAGACCATGATGAGGAGATGGCATACCTTGCCCATCCATCACCCTTGCTGTGGGACTCCCTGCCTAGCTGACCACCAGGGAGGCCTTCCATCTGCTTGGGGAGGTCTTCCATTTGCTTGGGGAGAGACGATTTGTTAATCCCCTATGGTCTAGATCAGGGGTCTCCAAACTTTTCAGAGTAGGGGCCACAACATATATGTTCCAGTTGTTTGAGGGCAGAATAGATGCATATGTGCGTACGCACACATGCCTGCACACCTGCCTGTCTGCACTCCCACCCCACCACTCATATGCACTCACACATGCATGCACACCCACCCACCTGTGCACCCACCTGCATGCATGCACTCCTGCATGCCCACACACACTCTTGCACACACACACTCCCAGACACATGCATGCACACACTCCTGCATGCATGTCGGCATGCACTCGCGCCCAACTGCCCCCCCGGGCCAGATAAAAAGGCAAAGTGGGCCAGATGTGGCCTGTGGGACATAGTTTGGAGACCCCTGGTCTAGATGAAAAGAGAAAGAAGTCTCAGTTGCTGAAGAGTTAGCTTAAGGCAACCCTGTTGATTCTGTTGTTTTTTGGTTCTATCCTGTTTTATAGTGTTTGTCCCAGTTTGAATAAATTCCTGACTGTTTTCCTGCAATCATGAGTGTGTGTCATGGAGGGAAACACAGGGGACACTTACATAAAAGTACTGCCAAATCTTGAGACTAAAATCTGGAGAAGTGTAATAATAAGATTCTAATTCTCATGTTATGAAAATATAACAAACAAGAATGAAAGGGGCAAAAGAACAATTTAATTAAGGCATACTGAAAGGAAGTCCTCTGAAAAGTATACAGTAACAGTGGACTGCTCTACAAGAAATATTTTTATATAGTTAAAATGCCATGTTAGAAAATATATTTTGAGGCTTGGGTGCTGGTACTGATTTCTCAGGTGGAGTTAGGAGGTCTCCTGTAAAGGCAGTGAAACGATATTCCTTGTGAAGGTCTTTTCTCAAGTCAGCTAGGTCCTCCTCCAATTTTTCAGCCTGCAGTAGAAATTATTAAGAATAAAAACACATTGATCAGGGTACCATTAATATAAAGTGAAAGGGAATGTTCATCATATTTTTGGATTACACCAAACTGGGAGTGTTAGTAAATGCTTCAGAAGACAGAAGCAGGGTTCAAGAGGCCCATAACTCTGGGGCAAAACAAAAAAAAATGAGTGTAAACAAGGGAAAATGTAAATGTTATATTTAAGCAGGAAAAATCAGATGCACAAAATATAGGATGGATGCACATGGCTTGGCAACAGTACCTGGGGGGGGGAAATCAGGAGACATAGTGGGCTACAAGCTAAATATAAATCAAGGAAGTGTAAGGTGGTAGCAAAAAAAAAAGCTAATGCAATACTGGGCTATATCAGCAGGAGTGTTTGGATCAAAAGAAGTAAGAGTGCCCTTTTATTTCAATTTGGTCAGATCTTAGCTGGAATGTCATGTTGAGTTCTGGGCACCACAGTTTAAGGACACCAAGAAACTGGAATGTGCCCAGAGGAGGGTAACCAAGTTGATAAAAGGTTTGGAAACCAAGCCATATCAGGAACAATTGAGGAAGATGGGTATTTTTAATCAGGAGAGGAGAGAGAGGAGGTGCAACAGCCATCCTCAACCCAGCCTTCTTGCAAAGTTTCTCTTAGGTGGTGATAACATGCTCAAATACCACAGGATCTGCTGCAGTTATATTATGGATTCAAAGTACTTTAAAAAAAAAAACCACCACATGATGCAAAAGCCAACAGGATCTGCTGCAGTTATATTATGGATTGATTCAAAGTACTTTTAAAAAAACCACCACATGATGCAAATTCGACCAATTCGAATTGGTCCAGCCCTTTTTGCTCATAACGTGGCTCTTTTTCTATGCTGAAGGGGTTTCTATTTTTTTTTCCAAGTCAGAACAATTTGAATGGATTTTTTTCTCTGTGATCAGTTGATTTATCCTTTTAAGGATGGGCGTTATTTGTGGGTGATGTTTCAATGGTTCAGGCAGTTGGGGTGTGATGTTCAGGACTGCAGAAACATCTGCCCCTGAGTTTTTCCCCCTCTGATCATCCTCTGAATTTAAATGTTTTAACATATGTGAGATTAGCACTACATCACATTATCACCTTATAGTTAGTATTGACATATTGTTTTAGCGCTAGATCACTTTGAATGAATTTATTTATTTTATTACTAGCAAAACAGATACAAGAGACATTCCTGTGGCATGAGGTATTTCTGTACATGTTAAGAAGAACTTGGAACATTGCCACCTTTTCCAGAACTCTGTACAACTCTTTCAAAACCAAGTGGCGTAACCATGAACTATATAAGGATCAGCAGAAGCATGACGAAGGAAAGAATGTAATGAAGGATGAAGGAAAGAAGGGGGAATTGTGAGCTGAAATGTGAACTACATCAAATGTGGACATTGAACTTCTGAATCAATTCACAGCCTCTGTGTGATCACCGTCTGTGAATACAGCCATAATACAAGCTGTGAATCAAAGCACAGTAAAGGTGAATTGGAGTGATTCAGTTTGCCACTGTAGTCACAGCCTAAGTGCTTGTATGGCCCAATTATATCCATGTTTAATATCAAGTAAGCCCCTCTGACTGGAACAAGATTTACATCCAAGTCAAAATGCTTATGAGCAACGTACCCTCTCATTTTCAGCCTCACTGGGCAGGGCTCCACCTCTCTCTCTCTCACGGCTTCATCCCTATGTGACGCACTGGGTTCTGTCATGACTGGAACCTAATGCAATCACTGTGCATAGCAGGAAGAGAGCTGCGTGGAGGGAAGTGGAGTTGTGCGCTTACCCAGCTTAGCAGGAACTTTGCTTATGAGTGCAGCCTTTAAGACTCTCAACTTGTATTTGGCATGAGCTTTTAGTGGCATAGCCCACTTCTTCAGATGCATAACAAAGGACAAACGGTGTGATCACATGGGAAAACAGACTGCATTTTGCACTGCTTGTGGAGCAATCCTGTGCAATCTGTTTCCCAGTGATCTACAGGGAACTGTGCTCCAGTCTGACCCCAATATGTGCCCAAACTGGACCTTTATGGTCCAGCGGTAGGGCTACTTTTTTGGGGGCCAGGCTGAAGCAATTCTATGACAGACCGAAGGGTAACTTTAAGGGACATTGCTATGGAAACAGTAACTTTGAAGGGAGAAATCCGACATACACCTTTCATGCTGTCTGACTGCACCCCAATAATTTTTCATAGAAAAATATTAAGTTCGTATCACTGAACACAATTTCCAGTAACCTGGGCAGAGTTCTGCTAGCATAATGGGAATAATGTCACCAGTGGTGGCTGATTGCTCCTAATTAAAGAGACTCTGCTTTGATATTGTTTGTCCATGACTGAGGCACAATGAGATGAAGATGCTGGGAACTAAGAAGTTTAATTAGCAGCAATTTGCTGTTGGTAGTGATGCCATATTATATTGGCAGAGCTATGCAACAGGATTTTAGCCCAGTGCTAGCCAAACATTAGTCAGAGCAGGACGAGTACCTCAGGTGGCAAATGCCGGTGGACAGTGGTAGCAGCTGGCTCTATTAGAGGGCAGAACTCTATGTGCTACACAGTTCGTCCCTCCATCGAGAAATGGCCCTGCTGGCCTTAAATACGACAGTGCTATATTATGGTTCATCTGCCAGACAGTGTGTGGACATGGCATGGTGATGGCAGGACAAGGCAAAGGACCGGATCTTGGGCTGTCCCCAGTTTATAGAGTTCTGATGAAGCAGCAAAATATGGTTGATGGTAAACCAGCAATAAGGATTTGACATGCCAAAGGGGACAAAAAGTAGAAAAGGGAGATGTGAGTGCAAATGACATTCCTCCAAATTCTCCAAAGAATGCCTTCGGCACTCGAGAACAGTACGTCTATGCGAACAAATATTTCAAAAGGAATAAATGCTGCTTACAGTTTCAAAGTCTTGACTTGCTCTCTGCATATCCTCTTGGGGTATCCCCGTTAACTTTTTCCTTCTTTCTTTCATCATCTGTGTATGCTGCTTAATGCGGTTTTCCACTTCCTTATATTTGGCAGCTCTTAGAGAAACAGAGGATAAGTTTCATATTTCCAATTTTGTCCTCATCTCATTTATAGATTGACTTAAGAAATTTACTGCATTTCTAACGAATACTGCTGTAAAAATAGAAAACCCATGCAATTATCCAGTAACAATAAGAACAGCAATAATAGAAAAAGCGCTTTCTACCTCCCAATGCACACATATGTTTGGGGGGAGTGCATATTTAAAAAAAAAACTGCAGAAGAAAATTAAGTTTAATGTGCTGACATATATTGGAATATTCAGTATGCTTATCCTCATCTGACAGAAAGTTTGGAAAGTTATTGAGCTCAGTGCAGCTCATTTAGGAATAGGCATGTATAAGTTTGCACTGTTAAGAGTGTAATGCTAACTATCCAAGATGGCTGAGAGCCAGCTGAATCGACTTTAGCTGAAGTTATTCTCAGTTTTATCTCTTGCCACCCAACATATATTGAAAATTACTTAGAATGGCTCTCAGCCTGGCCTAACATCTATCTCCCTGAGCTGGGACATCATTCCTGGTAGCAAAGACAGAGGCAGACAATTATTGTGTTTAGGGGCAAAGAAATGTCAAACCCAGACATGGGAGTCTAAATTGAGGGCAACTGAATTAATGACGCCACAGGCTGGGCTATGCAAGGGGCAGAATTCACAGGTCCAGAAACATGCCAGGAGGAAGAAAACGTTTTCCAAACTGAGGGCTGAATTTAGTTTCACAGAACTTCTCTAGGACCTCACTCCAGCAAGAGAGGAGAGACAAAAGATGAAGCTAAATATAATGACATTATTTTATCCTAAATATTTTACTACCTATAGAAAGGACTATGTCAGGATTTTACAATGTGGGATGGATGAAAATCTATACAAAATGAGGGAAACCACTGAACAAGGGTATCATGGCTATGGCCCTTTGGGGAACTTCAGAGGATTGGATCTTGTCCCAAGGTCTAAGGTTCCCCAAGGTTGAAAGTGACAAACCAAGTATATCTACTGTGTTCCAAAGTAAGAAGAACTCAAAGGACCTCACTTCCTGGTTGGAAGCCCATGGAAGGCATACTGGCCACTCTCTGATCTGCAGAGTGGGCACAAAATTAAAAATGGTGCAGCCCTCTAAATCCTCTTGAGCAGTGGTCCCCAACTTGGGCCTACAGATGTTCTTGGACTTCAACTCCCAAAAATCCTGGCCAGCAGAGGTGGTGGTGAAGGCTTCTGGGAGTTGTAGTCCAAGAAAATCTGGAGGCCCAAGGTTGGGGACTACTGCTCTGGAGTACATAGTTATATAGAAACAGATATCATCTATATATTTGATTATTTTATTTTATTGAAATTACACTGCATCTGTTCTCATACAATTCTAGGCAGTGCACCCTGTTTTCAATGCAGCAGCATTATCAAGCAGGTAACATTCTGTTGCCGCTTCTCTGCATGTGCCTTCAAAATGTAAATGTAAGTACCTCGACAAACAACATGAATGAAGGCTTCTTCAGAAGCTACGTGAAATTTTGACTCATAACTGTAATAGTATGTTTCCATGTAGACATGGTTCATTGTGGAATGTTTAAAACACCAGATCTTTCTGCATGTGCCTTCAAAATGTAAATGTAAGGACCTCTACAAACAACATGAATGAAGGTTCATTGTGGAATGTTTAAAATACCAGATCTTCTGCAAATCCAGAGCTCAATTCCATTCAATCTACCATTGAGGAGAAATAGGAGGTCTATGATTGTGCTATTGCTTTCCAAAGCAATAGAACATTACCACCTGCTCAACTACTCATTAGGTTATCTATTGCTTTGTTATCAGTGCCTGCTGAAGGAGAAGATAGTTTCAAGTAATTAAACATACAGGACTTGTCTGCTGTCCTCAGACACTCAGGGGCAATTGAAAGCTTTCTGTCACTCCAGCCGGAAGGCATCCAAATATAAACATGAAGTTTCAAAAGAATTAATGTAGCAACATTCAAGAGGGAAATTATGTTGAAGCAAAACCCAGCTAATTTTGTGGCACTAATGGGTTTTGCAGCCCAAACATGCATGTATTTGGACATATACAGAGAAGAAAGAGTAGATCATAAGGGATAAATGACCATGAAATGTGAGAAGTACACAATTTCACCATATGTACATATTGCTTTTATATGCCATTTCTCCTTACATAAACATTGTTATCTGCAATTTTCCTGGATATATTCATGATTTTATAAGACATTTTATTGAAGAAATGTATTGTATTATTCAGAGAAATGCACAAATTATCCAAAATGTCATCACACTCCACATTGCCTATCCAAATACAAATTAAGTAAGCTTATATTCAAATACAAATGAAACAAAATCTGCCTCCATATTCAGGGAGAGACACAACACATGATGGGTCTGTGGAATGTGAGGAGCCATAAGTATAATGTCAATAAAATGCTACTCATATGAATTCTGAGATGTCTCAGTATAATTCTGGACATAAAACAAAAGCAAAAAGACAGAAAGCAAGTGTAAGAGAAATCTTTGATCTTTGTTCTTACCTTAAATCCTCCATTGCTTTCATTGCATCTAAATTTAGTGTCCTCTCCCTATTTTCATCTTGGTTAGTTGGTTCTTTCCAGCCTTCTAGTTTGTCATAATTTTTAACATCATCAGTGGCATAAGGTGCATTTTGTGAAACCTAGGCAAAGTTCAACATATAATGGAGATATATAAACAAATAGTCAAGGAATACCTTACCACCTTGAATGAGTTCAAATCTCCAGGGCTAGATGAACTGCATCCGACAGTACGGAAGAACTCTCAGAACTGCTATCCATTATTTTCTTGAAATCATGGGAAGCGGGGGAGGTGCCAGAGAACTGGAGGAGGGCCAATGTTGTCCCTGTCTTCAAAAAGGGCAAAAAAGAGGAACCTGGGAAATACAGGCCAGTTAGCCTGACATCAATCCCAGGCAAAATTCTGGAATAGATCGTAAAGCGGTTATTGTGCAAGCACCTAGAAAACAATGCTATAATAACCAGAAAGCACCACGGATTTGTCAAGAACAAATCTTGTTTTTTGATCAGGTCACCTCCCTGATAGACAGAGGGAATGCTGTAGACATAGTACATCTTGACTTCAGCAAGGCTTTTGACAAAGTGCCCCATGATATCCTGATTAGCAAGCTAACTAGGTGTGGGCTGGATAAATCAAGTGTCGGGTGGATACACAATTGGCTACAGAATCATACTCAGAGGGTGATTAATGAGTCCTTCTCTAACTGGGAGGAGGTAACTAGTGGGGTATCCGAAGTCTCAGTCCTGGGCCTGGTGCTCTTCAATATTTTTATTAATGACTTGGATGAGGGAGTGTAGGGAATGCTTGTCAGATTTGCAGATGATACCAAATTGGACAGAATAGCTAATACCCTAGAAGACAGAAACAAAATTCAAAATGACATTGATAGGATGGAACACTGGGCCAAAAGGAATAGAATAAAATTCAACATGGATAAGTGCAAAGTACTGCACCTCAGAAAAAGAAACCAATTGCATAGTTACAAGGTGGGGGATATCTGACCCAGCAAAACTAAGAGTGAGAAGGATCTTGGAATTGTCATAAATCACAAGCAAAATATGAGACAACAGTGTGATGTGGCTACAAAAAAAGGCAAATACTATTTTAAGCTGCATTAATAGAAGTATGATTTCCAAATCCTGTGAGGTGCTAGTCCCCCTATATTCCGCACTGGTTAGGCTTCACCTTGAGTATTGTGTCCAATTCTGGACACCAGAGTATTGTGTCCAATTCTGGACACCACACTTTGAGTACAATCCTAACAGATTGGAACAAGTTCAGAGGAAGGTGACAAGGATGATCAGGGGGCTGGAAACCAAGCCTTATGAGGAAAGGCTGAAAGAATTGGGCATGTTTAGCCTTGAGAAAAGCAGACTTGGGTGGGTGGGTGATATGATCGCAATTTTCAAATATTTGAAAGGCTGTCATATAGAAGAGGGGCAAGATCCATTCTCAATCATCCCAGGGTGCAGGACACACATCAATATGTTCAAGTTAAAGGAATTCAATATTTGGTTGAATATCAGGAAAAAACATCAACTGTTAGAGCAGTACAACAGTGGAACCAGTTACCTCAGTTGGTGAGTGTTCGAACACTGGAAGCATTCAAGAAAAACTTAGATAATCACCTGGCACTTAGATATGCTTTGATTGTATTCCTGCATTGAGTAGGGGGTTGGACATGATGGCCTTGTAGGCCCCTTCCAACTTCACTCTTCTATGATTCTGTGATTCTATGATTCTATGGCATTTGTATGTCTTGGGAAAGAAGTAGGTGCTTGCCTTACCTCAGGCTGCCAGAAGAGTTAACATGGGACAGGGCTGAGTAATGGACTAGTACTCAAGAGGTCTGGGTTTGAATCCCTTGTCCACCATGAAAACGCATGGGGTGGGGAAGCAGTAAACCACTCCTTAAATATTGCACCCTGAAAACCCTATTACAATGACTATATGTCAGTTCCAATTTGATGTCACATCACAAACATGGAGTGGGTGGGTGGGGATTGCAGCTTAAACTAACGTATACAGTATATCACAGAAGTGAGTACATCCCCTCATATTTCATAAATATTTTAGTATATCTTTTCATGTGACAACACTGAAGAAATGACTCTTGGCTACAATATAAAGCAGTGAGTATACAGCTTGTATAGCAGTGTAAATGTGCTGTCACCTCAAAATAATGCGACATAAAGCCATTAGTGTCTAAACCACTGGAAACAAAAGTGAGTACACCCCTAAGTGACAATTTTCAAATTGGGCCCAAGTAGCCATTTTCCCTCCGTGGTGTCATGAGACCCGTTAGTGTCACCAGTCTCAGGTGTGAAAAGGGGAGCAGGTGTTACCACTCTCACTCTCTCTGACTGGTCACTGGAAATTCCACATGGCATCTTATGGTAATGAACTATCTGAGGATCTGAAAAAATGAATTGTTGCTCTACATAAAGATGGCCTAGGCTATAAGAAGATGGCCAAAACCCTGAAACTGAACTGCAGCACAGTGGCCAAGGCCATACAGCGGTTTAACAGGACAGGTTCCACTCAGAAGAGGCCTTGCCATGGTCGACCAAAGAAGTCGAGTGCCCATGCTCAGCGTCATATCCAGAGGTTGGCTTTGGGAAATAGACCTATGAGTGCTGCCAGCATTGCTGCAGAGGCTGAAGGGGTGGGGGAACAGCCTGTCAGTGCTCAGACCATACGCTGCACACTGTACCACATTGGTCTCCAGGGCTGTCATCCCAAAAGGAAGCCCCTTCTAAAGATGATGCACAAGAAAGCCCGCATATGGTTTGCTGCAGACAAGCAGATTAAGGAAATGGATTTCTGGAACCATGTCATGTGGTCCAATGAGGCCAAGATAAACATATTTGGTTCAGATGGTGTCAAATGTGTGTGGCAGCAACCAAGTAAGGAGTACAAAGACAAGTTTGTTGTGCCTACAGTCAAGCATGGTGGTGGGAGTGTCATGGTCTGGGGATGCATGAGTGGGGAGCTACAGTTCATTGAGGGAACCATGAATGCCAACATGTACTATGACATACAGTGGACCCTTGACTTACAGATGGCTTGACTTACAGACTTTTTGAGTTACAGACTTCTCTGGCCGCAAAATTTAGGTTTGACTTGCAGCCTGAGAATTGACTTACAGACCAGAAAAAAACCAAAATGGAACAAAAACGGCCTGTTACGGGATTAATCGGTTTTCAATGCACTGTAGGTCAATGGAGACTTGACTTACAGACTTTTTGACTTGAGAACCGCCTTCCAATACAGATTAAGTTCTCAAGTCAAGACCCCACTGTACTGAAGCAGAGCATTATCCCCTTCCTTTGGAGACTGGGCCGCAGGGCATTATTCCAACATGATAACGACCCTAAACACACCTCCAAAATGACCACTGCCTTGCTAAAGAAGCTGAGGGTCAAAGGTGATGGACTGGCCAAGCATGTCTGCAGACCTAAACCCTATTGAGCATCTGCGGGGCATCCTAAAACGGAAGGTGGAGGTGCGCAAGGTCTCTAACATCTACCAGCTCTGTGATGTCATCCTGGAGGAGTGGAAGAGGACTCCTGTGGCAACCTGTGAAGCTCTGGTGAACTCTATGCCCAGGAGGGTTAAGGCAGTGCTGAAAAATAATGGTGGCCACACAAAATATGCCCAATTTCGACATTGTCACTTTTGTTGCCAGCGGTTTAGACATTAATGGCTATGTGTTGCATTATTTTGAAAGGACAGCACATTTACACTGTTATACAAGCTGTATACTCACTGCTTTACATTGTAGCCAAGTGTTATTTCTTTAGTGTTGTCACATGAAAGGATATACAGTCAACCCTTGACAGAAGGGAGACTTTAAGCTAATTCTGCTTTGTAGGTCCCCGGACTTTTATCCACTGCGTAGTTAGAGGTTTTTAGGCAGTAAATTTCCACACACTGCCAATAATTATCAGCTTCCTTTCTGAGCATGCCTCTACTTCTGGCTTTTGGTTCTTGTTTAATTGCAAGGCCAGCCCGTCATTCAATGGTCTTAGAAGCCCCTTCTAACTATATTATTCTATGATTCTATGATTATCCTACCAGAAGCAAAATGTCCCCTCCCATTCCATGAACCGCATTTCATTACTGATGATACAATAGGGTCCTCTTACAGGCAACAGATCAATTCAAGGATGCAGATCAAGCTTTGGGGCACAAATAGCTTGATTTTTAAAGGAGGTGTAATGGCCAGGGGCTTCAGGATGAACATTTGGGAGGCATCTACATTAGGTAAAATGAAAACCCTATTGCAGCCCACCATTATGCTATGTGCTACATCAAACAGCGGAGAGCACAGAACACAGCCATTCAGTGACCACACAGTGATTCAAACTGTAGTTTGATCATTCCACTCTGTAATTCAGATAAGCAAGAAGTGAGACATGAACACATGTCTCCATCCTAGACAAGGTGGTGAAATGGACAATCTGCTAGTTTTAGACTACAGAGTCCAGGGTTCAGATCTTCTCTCTGAAGCAGTCTCCCCCTTTCCACTTCTTACATTCTCTGTCTTTCTCTTCAATTGCCATATTTTAACAATAACAATGCATATTATTATTAATCAGATTCTTTTCTGGTGGCTGGTTTTGTTTAATATGAACAATTTCTTCTGAAAAATGGGTATAAATTCTGTTGCTCAAGAAGACGACAGAAAGACAATGATTGGAGCATGAAGGTTTCCCACAGAAGTTCTTCCTACCAGCTCTGTATTTTTTTAAAGACTAACTTGCTTTGTTTTGTGTTTGGCTATCAAGAGATAAGCACAGGCTTTGTTGTCAAGGATGATTGCTCAGTTTTGAAAATCTGCCTATGTAGAGAAATAATGGGCTTCAGCTTCTAATGACAGGCTATCTATAAACATTACACAAGTAATTCATTGCATTGTACAGTATGTTAGTAATGTGTTGTGCTGCCATTACTAAAAGATAGAAAAATGTAAAGAAATACTCTCTGGTTCCTTCTAGTGTCCAGTTCTGGTCATGTGCATTGGATATATTTATAAAAGTACAAAATACAAGACTGAAGAATACTTCCCTTCCTACTTGGGATTGATAATAACAGAAAACCTGAACAATTCTTGTCAAA